ACATGTACCTGGGTTGCAGGTTCGATCCCTGCCCCAGGTCAGGGTGTCTGGGGGAGGCAACCAATCAATGTGTTTCATATCAGTGTTTTTCTCCCTCTCTCCCCTCTCTTCATGCCCTTCCACTCTCTCTCTCTCTAAAAAAAAAAAAAGAAAAAGGAAAATATATTCACAATCATTACGTGAGAATTAAAAAAAAATTGGGTGCTGAATTTTGTTAAATGCTTTCTTCTGCATCTATTGATATGATCATGTGATTTTCATCTTTCAATTTATTTATGTGATGTATCAAATTTATCGATTTGGGAATATCGTACCAGCCTTGCATCCCCAGAGTAAATCCCATCCGGGCATGGTGTATGATCTTTCTAATGTATTGCCAGATCTGATTTGCTAATATTTTGTTGAGTGTTTTAGCATCTGTATTCATCAGGGATAATGGCCTGTAATTTTCTTTGTTGTGTTTTTTTAAATTTTTTTTTAAAAAAATATTTTGTTGATTTCTTACAGAGAGGAAGGGAGAGGGATAGAGAGTTAGAAACATCAATGAGAGAGAAACATCGATCAGCTGCCTCCTGCACACTCCCTACTGGGTATGTGTCTGCAACCAAGGTACATGCCCTTGACTGGAATTGAACCTGGGACCCTTGAGTCCTCAGGCTGATGCTCTATCCACTGAGCCAAACCGGTTAGGGCTTCTTTGTTGTGTTTTTATCTGGTTTTGGAATTAGGATAATGCAGGCCTTGTAAAAAGACCTTGCAAGTCTCCTTCACTTGAATTTTTTGGAATAGTTTGAGGAGGATATGTGTTAGTTTTTCTTTGAATGTTTGCTAAAACTCACCCGTGAATCCATTTGGTCCAGGACTTTTGTTTACTGGGAGTTTTTTGATTACTGCTTCAATTTCATTAGTTGTTATTGGCCTATTCAGATTTTCTGATTACTCCTGATTGGTTTTTAGAAGATTGTATGTTTCCATGAATTTGTCCATTTCATCCAAGTTGTCCAGTTTGTTGGCATATAGATGTTCTTAGTATTTTCTTACAATCCTTTTTATTTTTCTGTTGTCAGTTCTTACTTTGCCTCTTTCATTTCTGATTTTATTTTTTTGGGTCCTCTCTCTTTGTTTCTTGATAAGTTTTGCTAAAGATTCATCAATCTTGTTTATCTTTTCAAAGAACCAGCTCTTGGTTGCATTGATATTTTATATTGTTATTGTTATTGTTATTTTAGTCTCTATCATTTATTCCCACTCTGATATTTATTATTTCCTTTCTTCTACTTACTCTGAGCTTTTCTTGTTCTCTTTCTAATTTTTTTTTAGTTATAGGGTTCTATCGTTTATTTGAACTTTTCTTGTTTCTTCAGGTAGGTCTGTAATGTTATGAACTTTCCTCTCAAAACTGTTTTCGCTGTATCCCATAGATTTGGGGTTGTTGTGTATTCATTTTCATTTGTTTCCAGGAAATTTTTGATTTCTTCCTTGATTTCATTATTACCTCTTCATTGTTTAATAAACTTCTATTTAATCTTTGTGTGTCCTAATGTTTTTGAGTTTTTTTTTTATTGTAGTTGATGTCGTTTCGTGCCATTGTAATCTGAGAAGATGCTTGGTATGATTTCAGTCTTGAACTTGTAAATACTTATTTTGTGTCCTCACATGTAATCTATCTTTGAGAATGTTCCATGTGCACTTGAGAAGAATGTGTATTCTGCAACTTGGGGATGAAATGTTCTGTAAATATCAATTAAATCCATCTGATCTAGTGTGTCATTTAAGGTCACTGGTTCCTTGTTGATTTTTTGTCTGGAAATTCTATCCAGTGATGTCAGTGGAGTGTTTAAGTCTCCTACTCTGACGGTTTTGCTGTCCATCTCTTCCTTCAAGTCTTCCAGGAGTTTTAACAAAAGTATCTTTAGGTGCTCCTATATTGGGTGCATCTATGTTTACCAGGGTTATATAGTCTTGTTGGATTGAGACTATTATCATGTAGTAAGCTCCTTTGTCTGTTTTATAGCCTTTGTTTTGAAGTCTATTTTGTCAGGTATAAATATTGCTACCCAGCTTTTTTTTTTTTCTCATTTCCTTTTGTTTGGAAAAAAATTTTCCATTCCTTTACTTTTTTCCTTTGTGAGTCATTTGTTCTGAGGTAGATTTCTTGTGAACAGGATATATTTGGGTCATGTTTTCTCATCCATTCAGCTACCCTATGTCTTTTGATTGGAGCATTTAATGCATTTACGCTTAAGGTTATTATTGATAGGTACTTATATTTATTGCCACTTTTATGCTTTATGCCTATGTTCCTCTCTCTATTTCTTCTTCTTATAACAGTTGCTTTAGCATTTCTTGCAATGATGATTTGGTTGTAGTAAATTCCTTTAGCCTTTTTTTTTGGCCTTGGAAGCTCATTATTTTACATTCAATTTTGAATGATAGCCTTGATGGACAGAGTAGTCTTGGTTTCAGATCCTTACTTTTCATTACTCTGAATACTTCATGCCTTCCCTTCTGGCCCGTAGTGTTTCTGTTGAGAAATCAGCTGACAGCCTTATGGGAGCTCCCTTGTAGGTAACTATCGATTTCTGTCTTGCTGCCCTTAAGATTCTCTCTTTGTCATTAACATTTGCAGTTTTAATTATGATGTGTCTTGGTGGGTGGCATTTTGTGTTCATCTTGGTTGGGACTTTCTGATCTAGTGTGTCATTTAAGGTCGCTGGTTCCTTGTTGATTTTTTTTTCTGCTTAGTCGCTAATTTGATCCTCTGCTTTATCGCTTTTAATTCCTTCCATTGTATCATTTTTTAAAAGTATGTTTTTATTGATTTTTAGAGAGACAGGAAGGGAGAGGGATGGAGAGAGAGAAATATTGATAAGAGAGAAACATCAACAATCCACTGCCTCCTGCCCACCCCCTACTGGAGATTGAGCCCACAACCTGGGCATGTGCCCTGACTGGAAATTGAACTGGTGACTTCTTGGTTCATGGGTTGATGCTCAACCACTGAGCCACACTGGCTGGGCTCCAGTGTATTCTTGATGTCAGATATAGTATTCTTCATTTCTGACTGGTTCTTTTTTAAAAAAACATATTTTTATTGATTTTAAAGAGGAAGGGAGAGGGAGAGAGCGATGGAAACATCAGTGATGAGAGAGAATCATTGATTGCTGCCTCCTGTATAACCAACTCGCTTTGGGGATTGAGCCGGTAACCCCGGGCCTATGCCCTGACTGGGAATTGAACTGTGACCTCCTGATTCATAGGTTGACTCTCAAATACTTACCCACGCTGGCCTGGGCCTGACTGGTTCTTATTCTTGGTTTATATGTTTTGTTTTTTTTCATGCTGATGTAGTTTCCACTAAGTTCCTTGTATTTCTCACTACCTTCCTTGAACATCCTTATAACCCTTCCTCTGAACTCTATATCTGTAAATTGCTTTCTTCCATCTCATTTAGGTCTTTTTCTCAAGATTCCTTCTTTTCTTCGGAGGTTATTTCATGTCTCCCCACTTCAGTTGTCTCTTTGTGTTTGTTTCTATGTATTAGCTATATGTGCTATGACTCCCAGTCTTCATGGGGTGGCCTTTTGTAGTAAATGTTGTGTGGGACCCATTGATACAGTTTCCTTGAACTTCTGAGCTATATGCTCTACGAGAGACCCTTTTGTTGATTATTTGGGCCCTCCTGTTGTAATTGGGTCTTGATTGTTTTTGTCCCATTCATGGGTGGGATCTCCTGTCGGCTGGTTGACTGTGAGGCTCAACCCCAACGTGTGAGCTGTTATACAGGTGCAGTCTTGAGGTAGTTTTTGTATTTCCTTGTTTAAAAGTCTTCTCCTCAGCAAGTCTTCAGCTGGTAATTCAGGGTGAATCCAGACTTCCCTTTCTTACCTTCTTATATGTATCCAGGCTGTATGCAGCAGCTCTAAGCAGTCATCTAACTCAGTGTTTATATTACTATTTATATTGGAAAAAATAAATTCTGTCCTTTCTCATTTCTCACTTTCAAATAAGGTACAGATTTTACTTAACAGTGTGACTCTAGGTTTAAGTAGTTTCAATCACCTTCCTCTCAGATGTATCTGTGTTGATTTTTAAATGTTCAATTTTTCCTTAATATAAAATGTGTTCTGCCATTTTTATTGTTAAGCCAAGATTGCTAGAAACTTCTGAGAAAAAATTAGAAACTTTGTGGTATAAGTTGCTTGTAATTCATTTTATATTTCATTATTTATCTGTTGAGAATCTCAGAAATAATGCTTTCATAAAACTTAACAAGTATTTGCACAGTGTTATTTGAGTTTCTTGGTTCAGTCATATAATTTTGTTTGCATTTTTGTTTTACATTGTGCTATGGAGCATTAGGTTTTTCTTAAGAGGTTCTGCATAGACAGTGCAAATACATATGTTGCTTATTTCTTTTTGCTTTATTTCTTAAAGCAGCAATCTATACATCTGAAATGTTCTTACAGCACACAAAAACTTGTAATTATGTTGGGGTGCTAGATGTGTAAACTAACCTTATTGTCGTAATCATTTTGTAGTATGTACGAGTATCAAATCATCACATTGTACACCTTAAACTTACATAATATTACACGTCAATTATATCGCAATGAAGCTGTAAAAAAAAGTAAGCCGCAATCCAAGTTTGGTGATGTAGCCAGCATTGCTCGTGATTCTAAAATGTCCCGCAGATTATTAGGATTTGGTTTGCCGGCAGTAGAAAGTGGGTTTTAAGTTATATTGAGGTTTTCTTTAATGTAGATAAAATGAAAGATAAAATATATTTGGACTTGGTATGAAGTGTATTTATAACAGTTCTTTTGTTTTTATAGTGGACAGAAAGATTTAAAGTCTAGTATTTTTATAGTCTTCGAATTACTGAGTTAACTAACTTTAAACTGTTGTTTTTTTTGAAAGGTATCTCTGTACTAATTTGTATCAGTTATGTGGGTGCTAGTACAAAGGGATGTATACCATCTTTGTTTGTTTTCTTTTAGGGTAATTCCTCTCCTGCAATTACTTTTGGATGGAAATATGCTTTTTTTCCAGTAGAAGATGGTAAACTTGGAGAATGACCATGGAGAAGGGGATGAGTTCTGGAGAAGGGCTGCCTTCCAGATCATCTCAGGTTTCGACTGTTAAAATAACAGCCAAAGAGTTGGAAACAAAGCAGTTCCATAAAGAGAAGCGAGGGGGCTTTGTGTTGGTACATGCAGGTAAGCTCTATGTGAGTGAGTCAAAAGATGAAAATAATGTTGATTTTTTTTTCTTGCCTTTAAGTACACTGAGAATTGAATTTTACCTTAGGAGAAGGCACAGTACCAGAAAGGAATTGGAACGAAAGAGATTGACTTCGATATAGTGAGGGCCTCCCCTAATTACTCACTTGGAAGATCTTGAAATGACAGCTCTTCTTATGTCTTCTTTACTCCCCTACCCTATTATTTACTTTTTCGGGTAGAAAAGGGTAAAGGGGGGGATAAATGGTGACAGAAAAAGACTTGACTTTGGGTGGTGAACACACAATACAATTATACAGATGATGTATCATAGAATTGCACAGCTGAAACCTATATCACTTTATCAACCAATGTCAGTCCAATAAATACAATAAAAATACTTTTTAAAGGTAGCAGAAAAAAAGATATATGCTGTTGAAAATTCATGACCAAGTTGTATTTGTTTTTAATCCTCAGTTCCTGTCCATGTGAGTATGTTTGATATATCTATATATATAAAAGCCTAATATGCAAATTGTCCCCATGGGAGTTCGACTGGGAGACCGGGAGTTTGATTGCTCGCTATGATGTGTGCTGACCACCAGGGGGCGGCACGGAACAAAGGAAGGCCCTGGCCGGCAGCTGGGGAAGGGAGGTCCAGGCCGGCAGCTGGAAGGAAGGCCCTGGCTGGCATCTGGAAGGCCTTGATCTGCCCTGATGGCTGACCAGTCCTAGGGACCCTACCCGTGCATGAATTTTGTGCACCGGGCCTCTAGTATAGATATATTTAGGTTGTGTTAAAACCAGACAAAGTAATTTTTTATACTCTGGCTTGTAGTTTTAAAAATAACTCTGTTGAAAAAAATTTTTTTGGCTCCCATATTTGAGTATGGCCATCTTAGAGTCCATTTACACAGTGTTAGAACCAGTTTGCCTTTTTAGTATGATATGTGAGGAATCTTAAAACCAGAGAGATTGAGTGGCTTCAGCCACATGGCTAGTTCCTGCTAAAGCCAGGTTGACAAACCCTTAAATGTGCCCTTAAATCCTAATCTAGTGTGTTTGGCAATATATCAGCTTATAATCTCTACTTCAGAGGACAGCACAGACAGACACTGTGAAATTTAACCCTTAGGTCCCTTATCATTGAAGAGTTTTGAGTTACAGAGCTGTGCACCTCTGCAAGGTCTGTTCAGTAGGCTTTTTTTTTTTCTCCCTGTAATCATTTCTTACTTGCCTGTATTCAGTTTCTAAAGTTTAGGACCTCCCAGAAAGAAGAAGGAATGGCTGGGTCTCCTTTTAACTTTGCTCAGTCATAGAGTATGAGAGCAAGGTTAGCTTTGACCTGGCATTGAGGAGTGGAATTGTTTCTTCTTGTCAAACTGGTGGACTTCTGGGAAGTCTTATAGAATCTAATCCAGAAGAATTAACAAAAAAGCAGATATATTTTCATTTTCTTTCAAATGGTTGAGAAAAGATAGGTTAAGTTTGTGTCAATCTTCAGCCTCACACGAGGACCCAGGAGGCTTAGAGATGTAGTTCTTAATCTTCCTTATGCTGTACTGCTATAGGGCTTTGGGGCTTGGGTGGGGATGGGGTGGGGTGGGGGTTCAGAACTTTGATTAGAAGCCTAATTATCACAGCAGTTTAAGGACTCTTGTCTTGGTTTCTTTCTTATTTACTAAACAATTAACCTTTTTAGGGAAACAAATTTCAGGGCCATTCTCTTGAGGAAGTTGCTGGGTGTTTATTAAGAGCCAGGGACCAGCCCTAACCAGTTTGGCTCAGTGGATAGAGCGACAGCCTGCGGACTGAAGGGTCCCGGGTTCGTTTCCGGTCAAGGGCATGTACCTTGGTTGTGGGCACATCCCCAGTCAGGGGTGTGCAGCAGGAGGCAGCTGATCCATATTTCTCTCTCATTGATGTTTCTAACTCTCTATCCCTCTCCCTTCCTCTCTGTAAAAAAATCAATAAAATATATTAAAAAAAAAAAGAGCCAGGGACCAATAGAATTTCTAATAGGCAGGCAGGAATACACCATCAGTGAGGTTTCAGAGACACCCTGGGCTTAAATTCCAGAGGATGTAAACGTTTGGATAGGCGTGGTAGTATTGGTGGTGGGTGTGGTAGTATAGGTATGCTGTAACACCCCTCAGCTTCAAATGCTATTTAGAAACTAACTAGTTTTGTAAAGTTACTTTTAAGAATTCTGGATTCCCAAATAGCAGGTGGTTTCTTTTGGTCAACCAAGAAGAACTTGAAGGGACTCTTTTCCCTGACACTACTTGGGTTATCAGCTCCAGGCCAAAAAACTCCTGACTTTGGAGACAGGTTTTTCAAAAAGGAGGAGAGGTGACTTTGATGAAACTTCTTTGGGGACATGAGCTATTTCTGGTGCTTCTGCCCAGAGAATAGTTTTTGAAAAAGAAGAGAAGGCATGGTATTAAAAAGGCTTCTGGTGGAGAAAGAAGCTATTAGATTTTTTAAAACCACATACAGTTAAGACAATAGTTTTATTGTTACTAGGAGAGCATTAGTTTGTAAGGACTATTTATATAATACTATAGGCTCAGTGCACGAATTCATGCATAGGTAGGGTCCCTTGGCCTGGCCAGCAATTGGGGCCACTGGTGGTTGTCCAGGGAGAGGGACTGCAGGAGGTTGGCCAGCCACCCTGATTGGGGTCGATGGGACCGGACAGCTGGGGGGAGGGACCGTGGGAGGTTTGGCCAGCTTAGGGGAGGGACCACGGGAGGTTGGCTGTGGGAGCACACTGACCACCAGGGGGCAGCTCCTGCAGTGAGCATCTGCCCCCTGGTGGTCAGTGCACATCATAGTGACCAGTTGTTCCGTTGTTCAATCACTTAGCCATTTATATCTTATATGATAAAGAGGTAATATGCAAATTGACCATCACACCCTCACACAAGATGGCCACTCCCATGTGGTCACAAAATGGCCGCCACAAGATGACTGGCAGGGGAAGGCAGTTGTGGGTGATCAGGCCAGCAGGGGAGGGCAGTTAGGGGGGACTAGGCCAGCAGGGGAGAGCAGTTGGGGGCAACTGGGCCTGCAAAGGAGGGCAGTTAGGGGCAACCACGCTGGCAGGGGAGGGCAATTAGGGTTGACCGGGCTGGCAGGAGAGGGCAGTTGGGGGCAATCGGGCCAGCAGGGGAGCAGTTAGTCAGTCAATTAGGTGTGATCAGGCTGGCAGGCAGAAGCGGTTAGGGGCAATTAAGCAGGTAGGCAGGCAGGCAGATGAGCGGTTGGGAGCCAGCAGTCTCAGATTGTGAGAGGGATATCTGACTGCCGGTTTATGGGATCAGGCCTAAACCGGCAGTTGGATAACCCCCGAGGGGTCCCAGATTGGAGAGGGTGCAGGTGGGGCTATGGGACAATCCCCCTCAGTGCACAAATTTCATGCACCGGGCCTCTAGTATATAGCAAAGTATGTGACATTTCATTGTAATGAATACTAATAATTGGTTGTTTGTTCCACTACAGGTGCAGGTTATCATTCGGAATCCAAAGCCAAGGAATATAAACATGTATGCAAACGAGCTTGTCAGAAGGTATAATAAAAATTTCTGTTTTGACTATAGAGGAGCTTTACCTTGAAATTCCAAATTTTAAGCGTTGTATAAAATCATCCTTGGTTTGGACCATCAAATAATTTAGCTCATATTTGTGAGGTCTTTGTTTTATTTTGTGTTGTTTTATTCTCCAAATCATGCTTAGAACTTTTCCTTCCTTTCCCAGATTAAAATCTGTATTTTTGGAATTATGGGCCCTTAATCATATATCTTTTAGTCTTTGCCAAGACGTTGAGCTCTATAGAAAACTGCTCAAAGGCAGCCAATGTGTCTTTCTGTGAAGGTAAAAAAATACTAACAAATGAAAATGGGTGCTTTTCTTAGGGAGATCATCCCTTACATTTTCCTTCTGTTTTTCATCATGTAGTTTGTATCATGGAAATTCATTATCATTCCTGAGTTAGCTTTGCTCTTGTACTGAGTTGTGTTTTTTTTTCTCTTTGGTTTTTGAGGTTTTGCTAAATTGTTGAATACTTAATGTGGCAGGAATGGAATCAGAAGAAATATTGTTTGTTTTTATTTTGATCCTGACTAAATACTCTTATAGGGAAACCTTTCATTTACTTCTACTTAAATAAAATGTTAATTGTGTATTGTATATCAAGTAAATGAATCTTCCAACCCTTTTTATTTCTATTTACATACCATTTAAAAGAAAGATTATACTTTGTTAGAGATCCAGGCTTTCTGTTACGAATGAAATCCCATAAATAAATAAGAATATTTTCTTATAGAGATATTTTTTAAAATTTATAATAAAGCGAAAAGTTCTCAAAGTGCTTTTATATTTTTTGTCCTTTATTTTCAAAGTGTGAAATCTTTTCATTATCTAAAAAGAAATGTTTTTCTTATGTAGAACAACTATATAGTCCTAGAAATTTAATACATTTGGAGTATATACTCAGCCTCCTCAATTTATACAATGAATGAACTTCTTAAAAGTTTAATGCAATTCTGACAGATCAATGATTTTCTCTCATCTTTGATGTTTCTTTCTCTCTCTTCTCTCTTCTTCTCTGAAATTAATAAAAAATATATTAAAAGTTTAATCCAGTTCTGTTTGAGCTTTCTCTTTATAGACTGACTTGGAGCTTTAATAGTTCATTTAGCAATCAGTCTTCCTTGTCTTTCTTTCCTCTCTTAACTTATATTCAAGAAGCGAGGAAGCAAGGTGATTTTATAGACCTTTACTCTGTGTAATTTATATTACAAAAGAATATGATTTGTGCCTGACCAGTGTTGCTCAGTGGTTGAGTGTTGACCTATGAACCAGGAGGTCACAGTTTGATTCCTGATCAGGGCACATGCTCGGGTTGTTGGAGGTGTGGAGGAGGCAGCCAATCAATGATTCGCTCTCATCATTGATGTTCCTATCTCTCTCTCACCCGCCCTTCCTCTCTGTAATCAATAAAAATATATTAAAACAAAACAAATGCCAATTTTGTTTCCCTTGTCGGAGGAGATATGTGAGAAAAAATATTGCTGTGAGAAATGTATGATATTTTATTGCCTATATTTTCGAGAAGTTGTGGTTTTACAATGAATAATCTCTCCCCTTGTTTTCATAGGCAATTGAAAAGCTACAGGCTGGTGCTCTTGCAACGGATGCAGTGACTGCAGCTCTGGTGGAACTTGAGGTATTTCTTTTCTTTACATTTTATTTAAAATATTTGTAAGTATGTTTGTTATTCTTAAATGACATGAAACTGCCGAGTTAGTCAACCATCAATTATACGACCAGTGTTTACCAACAATATTAACTAAATTGTGAAGAAGCCTGTGATATTGTTAGATTGTTTTTATTGAGGATTTCTCTGCGTAATATAAAAAAGTTAGTTAAGTTCCTTTTTCCCATTTTGTGAGATTCATGGATATAAAAGTTACTAGTTACTTAACATTACTGGATACTTACATATCCTCCATATTTTTAGTAGGAAAATTCCTGAAGTTAACTCCCCTAAAAGTAATATGTTTAGAAAACAAAAATTTCCAACTATGTATAAGTGTCTTAAGTGGAAGGGAAAGTTTCCTTACCAACCTAATGGTTCAGTATATATTCTGAAGCTATGCTCTGTGAAGCATGTCTTGTCCAAAGTGGTTGTTAGATTGGTCTCCAGTTATTGGAGACGTTGAGGAATTCAATGGGGAGGTGATCATGTTTGCTCTAATTCTTTGTACTCCAGATTGAGGGTCTCTCAGCTCTCTTAGTGTGGAACTGTGACTATGAGTTTGTCCAGGGGATATTGAGGCCTTCAGAAAATAAAGGACCTCCTTTGAAAATAAAGGACCAACTTCTGCCACTCACACTTAGAGAAGATAGATTTATGTTAGTTAATTTAGAGCAGTGATGGCGAACCTTTTGAGCTCGGCATGTCAGCATTTTGAAAAACCCTAATTTAACTCTGGTGCTGTGTCACATATAGAAATTTTTTGATATTTGCAACCATAGTAAAACAAAGACTTATATTTTTGATATTTATTTTATATATTTAAATGCCATTTAACAGAAAAATCAACCAAAAAAAATGAGTTCGTGTGTCACCTCTGACAGGCGTGTCATAGGTTCACAATCACTGGTGTAGATGCTCTCTTATAAATTTGGGTC